TCTATACGCATTGTAGACATTCTTCCCAATTTGCAATTTGTCTTTTGACTTTGCTTTTTTATGCTAAGTATTAATTTTTATGTAGTTAAATTTATCAATCTTTTGAGTCATTCATAAAAGGCCATCCCCACTGCAAGGTTATAAAGGAATTTTCCTAGATTTTCTTCAAGTGTTTTTATTATTTCAATTTTTTTTTTTTTTTTTTTTTTTTTTGTCTCGCTCTGTCACCCAGGCTGGAGTGCAGTGACGTGATCCTGGCTCACTACAGCCTCTGCCGTCTGGATTCAAGCAATTCTCTGCTTCAGCCTCCTGAGTAGCTGGGATTACAAGGACCCGTCACCAAGCCCATCTAATTTTTTGTATTTTTAGTAGAGACAAGGTTTCACCATCTTGACCAGGCTGGTCTTGAACTTCTGACCTTGTGATCCACCTGCTTGGGCCTCCCAAAGTGTTGGGATTACAGGCTTTTTTTTTTTTTTTTTTTTTTTTAAGGCGGAGTCTTGCTTTGTCACCCAGGCTGGAGTGCAGTGGCCCAATCTCGGCTCATTGCAACCTCCACCTCCTGGGTTCAAGGGATTCTCTTGCCTCAGCCTCCTAAGTAGCTGGGATTACAGGTGGGCACCATCACACCCAGCTAATTTTTGTATTTGTTTTTTCGATACAGAGTCTCGCTCTGTTGCCCAGGTTGGAGTACAATGGCGCAATCTCGGCTCACTGCAACCTCTGCCTCCCAGATTCAAGTGATTTTTCTGCCTCAGCCTCTCGAGTAGCTGGGACTACAGGCGCATGCCACCATGCCTGGCTAATTTTTTTTATTTTTGTCTTTTGTATTTAGTAGAGATGGGGTTTCACCATGTTAGCCAGGATGGTCTCGATCTCCTGACCTCGTGATCTGCCCGCCTCGGCCTCCCAAAGTGCTGGGATTACAGGCGTGAGCCACCGTGCCTGACATATTATTTCAATTTCTATATGTAGATACTTGAGCCATTTGGAGTTCGTTCTGGTATATGTTGTGAGGTACAGATGCAGCTGTATCTTTTTCCAGATATCAGGTATCAGCCTTCATTTTCTGAAAACAGTTTTTAGTAAAATCCATGTTTACCTGATTTGAGATTCCACCTTTATCATATACTCAATTCTGGTATATATATTGTCTTTATTCTGTACTTTCTATTCTCTTCCTTTAGTCAGCCTGTCAGTTTGTGCAGCAGTATCGTACTGTTTTAATTATTGACTTTTTACAAATTATATTTTTATATCTGGTTAGACTAGGCCACTCTTATAGCTTTTCCTTTTTAGAGTTTTCCTGGATATCTTTGCTTATTTTTCCACCCAGCACTTTTCTCTCACAACTTTATAAACCTTTTAGTTCAGCCTAGTGTGGGGATAAATGCCAAAGAGCCTGCATCAGATCTGCAATGTGATCCATCACACTATCAAGTCTTAATGCCTTTTTAGCAGAGATTGAATAAATAACACAATAAGGCTGCGCGCGGTAGCTCACGCCTGTACTCCCAGCACTTTGGGAGGCCAAGGCAGGCAGATAGCTTGAGCCCAGGAGTTCAAGACCAGCCTGGGCAACATAGTAAGACCTCATCTCTACAAAAAATTAAAAAAATAGCCAGGTGTGGTGGCATGTTCTTTAGTCCCAGCTACTCAGCAGGCTGACATGGGAGGATCACTTGAGGCTGGGAGGTGGAGGCTGCAGTGAGCTATGATCAGGCCACTGCACTCCAGCCTGGGTGACAGAGCTAGACCTTGCCTCAAAATAAAATAAAATAACACAATAAAACTGTATATAATTTGGTATACAATTTTTTTTCACTTAAGCATTTTCCTGCTATTACAGTCTTTTTTTCTTTTCTTTTTCTTTTTTTTTTTTTGAGACAGAGTCTCGCTGTATTGCCCAGGCTGGAGTGCAGTAGAGCGATCTCGACTCACTGCAACCTCCGCCTCCCGAGTTCAAGTGACTCTACTGCCTCAGCCTCCTGAGTAGCTGAGATTATAGGCACGTGCCACCATGCCCGGCTAATTTTGGTATTTTTAGTAGAGACACGGTTTCACCATGTTGGCCAGGCTGGTCTCAAACTCCTGACCTTAGGTGATCTGCATGCCTTGCCCTCCCGAAGTGCTGGAATTACAGCGTTAGGCACCATGCCCGGCCCTACAGTCTTTCTAAACATAACATTCCATAATTTCCTCAACTATTCGTCTATTGTTGGACACTTTCCATTTCCCCTAGTTTCTATTCCTTTTCATTATGAAAAAAAAAATTCAAACAAACAAAAACACCCCCAAAAAACCAACTTTGCAATAAATATCTTTAAGCATAAGGATTCTTCACACAATTTTGGGCACTGATTTATTTTTATTTTTAAATTTTTATCATATAGGTTGTATTCTTTTTTTAAAATTTCAGATTCAGAGGCTCATGTGCAGGTTTGTTACATGGATATACTACATAATGTTGAGGTTTGGGCTTCTATTGAACCTATCACCCAAATAATAAACATGGTACCCAATAGGTAGCTTTTCAACCCTTATGCTCCTCTTCCTTTTTGGCACTGAGTTTTCTTTCCTTTTCTTTCTTTTTTTTTTTTTTCTTTTCTTTTTTTTTTTTTTTTTTTTTTTTTTTCTTCTTCCTTCTTCCTTCTTCCTTCTTTCTTTCTTTCTTTCTTTCTTTCTTTCTTTCTTTCTTTCTTTCTTTCTTTCTTTTTTTTTTTTTTTTGACTGAATTTCACTCTTGTTACCCAGGCTGGAGTACAGTGGTGTGATCTCGGCTCACTGCAACCTCCGCCTCTCGGGTTCAAGCGATTCTCCTGCTTCCACCTCCCCAGCAGCTGGGACTACAGGTGTGCACGACCATGCCTGGCTAATTTTGTATTTTCAGTAGAGACTGCATTTCACCATGTTGGTCAGGCTGGTCTTGAACTCCCAACCTCAGGTAATTCACCTGCCTCAGCCTCCCAAAGTGCTGGGATTACAGGCATGAGTCACCACAACCAGCTGGCGCTGATTTTTCTTTATAATTTCCTTTGTTTTTTGTTTGTTTGTTTGTTTGTTTGAGAGATGGGGTCTTGCTATGTTTCCCAGGCTGGTCTCAAACGGTTGGGCTCAAGCGAGCCTCCTGCCTCAACCTCACAAAGTGCTAGGATTACAGGCGTGAGTCACCGTGCCCGGCCGACACTGACTTTTAAGTGAGATTATTGAGGCAAAAGATACGGGCATCTTTAAGACTGTATATTCACATTACTAGAATTTGTACCTGTTTACACTCTAATATACTAGTATATGCAGTGTCAATTTTACCACACTTTCTTCAATAGCAATTGATTATCTCAGCCCTTCATTTGTTTGCTTGTTTGTTTGTTTATTTTGAGATGGAGTCTCGCTCTGTCGCCTAGGCTGGAGTGCAGTGGCGCGATCTTGGCTCACTGCAACCTCCACCTCCTGGGTTCAAGCAATTCTCCCTGCCTCAGCCTTACGAGTAGCTGGGATTACAGGTGTCCAGCACCATGCCCAGCTAATAATTTTTTTTTTTTTTAGTAGGGATGGGGTTTCACCATGTTGGCCAGGCTGGTCTCGAACTCCTCACCTCAAGTGATCCACCCGCCTTGGGCTCCCAAATTGTTGGGATTACAGGCGTGAGCCACTGCCCCGGCCTAATTATCTCAGTCCTTTGAAGAGTCACTTAGGACATTTAAAATCATGTAAATGTGGAGTGAATGGGCCCCACTGTGTTAGGATTAGGGTGGAACAAGTTCATTTACAAAATAAGTTTTGCACAAGCTTTCTCCCTCTTGGAATGCTGATATGGTTTGGGAAGGAGTCAATTTATTTACCTAGTGGCCCAGGTGTCTTCTGGGAGTTAATAACTATTAGTCCCCCTTCCCCCTTCAAAAAACACTTATGGAGACCGGGCACGATGGCTCATGCCTGTAATCCTAGCGTTTTGGGAGGCCGAGGCAGGTGGATCACCTGAGGTCAGGAGTTCGAGACCAGCCTGGCCAACATGGTGAAATCCCATCTCTACTAAAAGTACAAAAATTAGCCAAGTGTGGTGGCGCACGCCTGTAGTCCCAGCTACTCGGGAGGCTGAGGCAGGAGAACTGCTTGAACCCAGGAGGCAGAGTTTGCAGTGAGCTGAGATTGTGCCACTGCACTCCAGTCTGGGTGACAGAGTGAGACTCTGTCTCAAAACAAACGAACAAACAAAAAACACTTGTGGAGATTTGAATTATGAACATCTATAGTGGTAGATGAGGGTGCCACTGATGAAAGCCCAGTGTCTTAAATAACTATTTGGAGTCTTGAAATGAGGTTGCCAGAAAAGTTAAGAGAAATGGAACTAGTGGGTAAGCCTTGGTCCAGAACACGAAGAAGAGATAAAGGCCCTTGATTCCAGAGGCTGAGAAAACATGGGGAGAGGGAGAGCTGCAAAGTTCTTTTAATTTAGTCCAGCACAGGAAGACTACTTACAAATAGCATTTTATTTGATGTTCATAACAATTCTAGGGGTTGAGGTTCTTGCTTCTGTATGTGTGACCTTCCTTCTCCAACCCCTAGCTTGAACTTCTGGTTGGTACCTGGGGAATCCCTAAACACACAGAGAGCAGAAAGCAGCTGGGGAACTGTGTTAGCCTGCCTGCGCTGCCATAAAAAATATTACAGGCAGTTGGCTTATAAACAACAGACATTTAGCCAGGTGCGGTGGCTCACGTCTGAAATCCCAGCACTTTGGGTAGCCGAGGTGGGTGGATCACCTGAGGTGAGGAGTTCGAGACCAGCCTGGCCAACATGGTGAAACCCTGTCTCTGAAAAGATACAAAAATTAGCCAGGTGTGGTTGCACGCTCTTGTAGTCCCAGCTACTGGGAAGGCTGTGACAGAATTGCTCGGACCAGGAGACAGAGGTTGCAGTGAGTTGATATCGCACTGCTGCACTCCAGCCTGGGCGATAAAGTGAGACTCTGTCTCAAAAAACAAGCAAGCAAACAAACAAACAAACAAAACCAGATGTTTATTTTCTCACAGTTCCAGAGTCTGGCAGTCCAAGATCAAGGTGCCGGCCGGGCTGGGTTCTGCTGAGGACTCTCTTCCTGGTTTGCAGATGACTGTCTTCTCACTGTGTCCTCACACGGCCTCTTCTCTGTGTGCCCATGGAGAGAGGGAGAGCTCTCTGGTAGATGAGGGTGGCACTGATGAGGTGGCACTTACTCTCCTTGTAAGGGCACCGTCCTGTGGGATTAGGATTCCATCCTTATTATCTCATTTAACATTAATTACTTCCTTAAGGGCCCTGTCTCCATTGGTGGGTAGGGCTTCGCATATAAATTTTGAGGGGACACAATTTAGTCCATAACAGAAACCTTAGGAGGGTAGCTGGGATCTCTAGAGTTCTTGCTAACACTGGTACTTTGGGCAGGGAGATGGAGAATAGCAGAATTGTCTATGGAATATCACCCATAGAATTGGGAGTTGGGAGTTGGAGGCCGGGTGCGGTGGCTCACGCCTGTAATCCCAGCACCCTGGGAGACCGAGGAGGTGGAGGTTGCAGTGAGCTGAGATTGCACCACTGCACTCCAGCTTGGGCGACAGAGCGAGACTCCATCTCAAAAAAAAAAAAAATTCCGGCTCTGTCCTTCCTAGCTTTGTCTTTGGAAAAGGTGCATAGACTAAAAATAAAACTCCAAGCCCCACAATGGACTGAACTGACCATCTCTTGGCCAATGGGACTGCAGAATAATCTTGGAAACTGAGTTCTCAGCCATGATGGGATAAGAGATTAACTATCCCTCGTTATACCCCAACCCTGGGTAACCACAGTTAGGCTTTCTTCCCTAAAGGCTGAACAGAAACCTGCCTTTTCAAAGGACTCCACCGTTGATTGATATCAGCTAACTGCCTGTTGCTGCTCCCCCTTTTTCACCTGATAAGAGATCACTTATCATAGGCTGAAGGCGGTGGCTCACGCCTGTAATCCCAGCACTTTGGGAGGTTGAGGTGGGCGGATCACCTGAGGTCAGGAGTTCGAGACCAGTCTGGCCAATATGGTGAAACCCCATCTCTACTAAAAATACAAAAATTAGCCGGGTGTGGTGGCGGGCTCTTGTAATCCCAGCATTTTGGGAGGCCGAGGTGGGCAGATCATGAGGTCAGGGGTTCGAGACCAGCCTGGCCAACATAGTGAAACCCCGTCTCTACTAAAAATAGAAAAATTAGCTGGGCATGGTGGCGGGTGCCTGCAGTCCCAGCTACTGGGGAGGCTGAGGCAGAAGAATCGCTTGAACCCAGGAGGCAGAGGTTGCAGTGAGCTGAGATCTCGCCACTGTACTCCAGCCTGGGCGACAGAGTGAGACTCTGTCTCAAAAAATAAAATAAAATAAAATAAAATAAAATAAAATAAAATAAAATAAAATAAGATTAGGAATTGGAAGTGAGTTTAGAAATCTAATCCTTATTTTGCAGTTAAGGGAGGCTAAAAGAGCTCAAAATAGTTGTCTAAATTAAATTTGGGACTTCATTCAATAGATTATTGATTATGTATGTCAGGCCTTAGGCCCTTTACATTTCTCTCCCAGGACTAGTTACAATCTGTATTTATCTGTTTTACTTTGATGCTGTATGTGATGGTTAATATTAGGTATCAATTTGATCAGATTGAAGAATGCTTAGATAGCTGATAAAGGAATGTTTCTGGGTATATCTGTGAGGGTGTTGCCAGAGAAGATTGACATTTGAGTCAGTGGGCTGGAAGAGGAAGACCCATCCTCAATGTGGGTGGGCACCACTGATGGGCTGCCAGCAGGACTAGAACAAAGCAGGTGGAAGAAGGTGGGATCAGCTGGCTTGCTGAGTTTTCTGGCTTCTGGCTTTCTTTTTTCTTTTCTTTTTTTTGGAGACAGAGTCTCACTCTGTTGCCCAGGCTGGAGTGCAGTGACACAATCTTGGCTCACTGCCACCTCAGCCTCCTGGTTTCAAGCGATTCTCCTGCCTCAGCTTCCCGAGTAGCTGGGACCATAAGCATGCACCACCATGTCTGGCCAATTTTTGCATTTTTAGTAGAGACAGCGTTTCGCCATGTTGGCCAGGCTGGTCTTGAACTCCTGGCCTCAAGTGATCCACCTGCCTTGGCCTTCCAAAGTGTTCAGATTACAGGCATGAGCCACTACGTCTGGCCATGACTCTTCTGGCTTTCATCCTTCTCTCATGCTGGATGCTTCCTTCCGTTCCTCCCACCCTTGGACATCAGACTCCAGGTTCTTCAGCCTCTGGACTCTTGGACTTATGCCAGTGGTTTCTCGGGGGCTCTCGGGCCTTCGTCCACAGACTGAAGGCTGCACTGTTGGCTTCCTTGCTTTTGAGGCTTTTGGACTCAGATTGAGCCACTACTGGCTTCTTCCTTCCCCAGCTTGCAGATGGCCTATTGTGGGACTTCACCTTGTGATCGTGTGAGCCTATTTTCCTTAATAAACTCCCTTTCATATACACATATATCCTACTAGTTCTGACCCTTTGGAGAACCCTGACTAATACACCATAACATCTAGGAAGATAACTAGCTTATCTTGTTTATTGATTGATCACTGACAGTGCCTAGCACATTGCCTAGCCCTTTGGAAGTGCACAATAAACACTTGGTGAATGAATGAATGACTGAATAATAAAAGCTAACCTTTAATGAATATTCATTATGAGCCACATTCAAAACTCTATGTACTTGAGTTTATTATCTTGTGTTCAATTCATCTTTCTAAGTTTTGAGAGGAGGAACTGGAAAGTCAGAAAGGCTAACACCTGTTAGCTGAAAATGATGAGGTTTATAAATCTGGAAAGGAGAGCTTTATTTTTCATAAAGGGTTACAGCCTGCGGAGTAACCATTCTGATAGAATGGGAAGCACAGTCTCCAGCCAGAAGCCAGAAACAGACACTTTGAGGGAGGGGCAAAGGAAACAGGAATTTATGCTGAATGGGGTGGTCAAATATACATATTTAATAAACTATAGGAGGGGTCACGAATATGTATGAGAGAAACCTGTGCATGCGCAGTTGATCTTTATCCCTCTCTGTGGGACCCATGTACGGAACATGGAGGTGTTAGTATTATCTGAGGTAGGAGTTTTTGGCCCTCTTACCTCAAAAGGTGAAGCAGAATACAGGAAAACCCTTACTGTGCATTGTCCATAGACTGGCCAGAACCACTCCGTGGTAAGTGATATCCTTTTTTTGAGATGGAGTTTCACTCTTCTCACCCAGGCTGGAATGCAGTGGTGCGATCTCGGCTCACTGAAACCTCCACCTCCTGGGTTCAAGCAATTCTCCTGCCTCAGCCTCCTGAGTAGCTGGGATTACAGGTGCCCACGACCATGCCTGGTTAATTTTTGTATTTTTAGTAGAAACGGGGTTTCATCATGTTGGCCAGCCTGGTCTCCAACTCCTGATCTCAGGTATCTGCCTACCACGGCCTCCCAAAGTGTTGGGATTACAGCCGTCAGCCACTGCGTCTGGCCCATCATAAGTGATCTCTTATCAGGTGAAAAAGGAGGAGCAGCAGCAGGCGGTTGGTTGATATCAATCAATAGTGGAGTCCTTTGAAAGGGCAGGTTTCTGTTCAGCCTTTAGTGAAGAAAGCCTAACTGTGGTTATCCAGGGTTGAGGTATAACGAGGGATAGCTAATCTCTTATCCCATCATGGCTGAGAACTCAGTTTTCAAGATTATTCTGCAGTCCCATTGGCCAAGAGATGGTCAGTTCAGTCCATTGTGGGGCTTGGAATTTTATTCTTAGTTTGTACACCTTTTCCAAAGACAAGGATAGAGCTGGATTTTTTTTTTTTTTTTTTTGAGATGGAGTCTCACTCTGTTGCCCAGGCTGGAGTGCAGTGGTGTGATCTTGGCTCACTGCAACCTCTGCCTCCCAGGTTCAAGCGATTCTTCTGCCTCAGCCTCCTGAGTAGCTGGGATTACACATGCACCACCACGCCGGCTAATTTCTGTATTTTTAGTAGAGGCGGGGTTTCACCATGTTGGCCAGGCTAGTCTTGAATGCCTGACCTCGTGATCCACCTACCTCAGCCTCCCAAAGTGCTGGAATTACAGGCGTGAGCCACTGCACCTGGCCCAGAGCTGGAATTTGAACTCATGTCCGGCTGATCCCAAAGTTCATCCAAATGCTTAGTCAAAATGCTGAACTGCCTGCTTGAAATTCAACACAAGGTAGGTAGGGAGGTCTTTGGGAGAAATAGAAAACAACTGTAGAATTTACTTTTTAAGATGCATCTTAAAACATTTCTGGGCTGGATGTGGTGGATCATGCCTGTAATTTCAGCAATGGGAGGCTGAGGCGGGCAGATTGCTTGAGCTCAGGAGTTCGAGTCCAGCCTGGGCAAGATGGCAAAAATCCATCTCTACAAAAATTACAAATAATTAGCCAGGCGTGGTGGCATGTACCTGTAGTCCCAGCTACTTGGGGAGGCTTGAGGCAGGAGAATCCCTTGAGCCCAGGAAGTTGAGGCCACAGTGAGCCACCTTCTTCATGCCACTGCACTGCAGCCTGGGTGACAAAGTAAGACTGTCTCAAAAAAGAAAATTAAAAAAATGCATGTCTGCGTATTGCCAGGCAGATAAGAGCCATTGTTTTAAGAGACAGGAAAGAGCATGAGCCAAGCCATGGAGGTTGGAAAAAGCAATGTGTATTCAGAAAACTTAGTACGTTTAGTAGGCCTAGAAGAGAAGGAATCTTGAAGCAAGCTGCAGTTGGAGACCAGAGAGGTAATTTGGGTCCAAAATGTGAAGAGTCCTATATGCCAGCTGTAAACCAAAAATAAAATTCTAAGTCCCCAGCCAACTAAATGGACCCCTCCTCTTGGCCAAGAGCATTCTAAAGTTAACCTGAAAAACCAGTTCAGGACATGCCTCATGATACCCTCCTCCCTCTGGAATTCAGGCACAACTGACCAGCGTTAACATTAAAACAGAGATCTTAAGACTGACCAAACAGACTCTTTGTAGCAATAAGACACCAAATTCTGGCCAGGCACGGTGGCTCAAGCCTGTAATCCCAGCACTTTGGGAGGCCGAGACAGGCGGATCACGAGGTCAGGAGATGGAGACCATCCTGGCTAACACGGTGAAACCCCGTCTCTACTAAAAAATACAAAAAACTAGCCGGGCGTGGTGGTGGGCACCTGTAGTCCCGGCTACTCGGGAGGCTGAGCCAGGAGAATGGCGTGAACCCG